ATAATGCCATACACAGACTCGCAGACCCTGCTGAGGATAAGTTAAACTCTGCACCCACCTCCAGCAGCATACATTGGGAAGAGATAAAGACATTGATAAGCACTGAAGTACTTTTGTGGTTGTGCATAATTTAATGTGGAGTTTTGCCTTCAATGACTGGAAGCAGTGTTGCACAGCAGAAAGAGAAAAGGCAGGCTTTGGATGGGCCAGCCCTCAGTTTCAATGTTACTTGACCTTCCCGAGCCTGAGATTCTTCACCTGTGAAATGGGGATAATAATATCTACTCCTGAAGGAGTGTGAATGGGATGAAGTGTGCGGAGCCTACCGCATGAATTGGCCTGTAAAGGGCATCTTCATACATGGTTATTTTGAGTTTTTAGTGCATGCGTATTTTCCTGTTCCATGCAAGGCATTATGCTTTTGCTTACATTTGGGCTTCCTTCTCTTCACCTCCCCCTCCACCCACCTCAACCCCATCCAAATCCTGCACTGCTTTAAATCTATATTCAAAGCCCTTGTAATCCACTGGGCTCCTTCCTCGCCAGCCCATGGGCATTTCCCCCCTTCTTTGCATTGATCTAGCACATGCTGTTTGGCAGGTGATACATGAGCAGCTATAGTTCTTTAGGTTTCCATTCTTGTCCTTGAGATTACGTTTTAAAAACAACTGTATGTAGGTATAATGGACATCATATAAATTACACCTACATATTTGTACAGCTGTGAAGCCATCACCACAGTCAATATGAACATATCCATGAGCTCCAAAAGTTTTCCTGTACCCCTTTGTAGTTCCTCCCTTGACCCCTCCTTAATACCTCTTCCATTTCCCAGGCAGCCACTGATCTGCTATTTGTCACTGTAGATTAGTTTAGTTTTTAGAGCTTTCTGTAAGTGGAATTACATGGTATGTCCTTTTTCAACGGGCTTCCTTCACTCAGTATAATATTTTGAGATTTATCCACATTATATGTATCGGTAGTTCATTTCTTTTCATTGCTGAGATGCACCACAGTTTGTTTATCCATTCACCATTGATGGCCATTTGGGTTGTTTCCAGTTTTTGACTATTACAAATAAATCACCTTTCTACAAGCTGTGTATGAGAGTTCTACTACTGCCACATCCTCAACAACACTTGTTACGTCTTCTTAATTTTAGCCATCTTAGTAGGTATGCAATATTCTCTTATTGTGGCTTTGATTTACATTTTCCTGATGACTATGATGTGTTTAGCATTTTTTCATGTCCCTACTTACCTTCTGTAAATCTTTTATAAATTGTTCAAATCTTCGCTCCCTCTTTTTAAAAAACATTGGGTTTTGTTTTCTTCTTAATGAGTTTTTAGAGTTCTGTATATATTCTGGCTACAAATCAGATACGTGATTTGCAAATATTTTCTCCCGGACTGTGGCTTGCCTATTTTTTATTATTATTATTTTAACAGTGCCATTTGAAGAGAAGAAGTTTTTATTTTAATGAAATCCAGCTGGTCAATTTAGAGGAGAGGGCATCATATCTGAGAAATCTTTGCATGACCTAGCATCATGAATATTTTCTCCTAGAAGTTACAGAGTTTCAGACTTTACAATTAGGCCTATGGTCTATTTTGAATTCATTTTTTTGTATGGTGTGAAAACTGGATTAAAATTCCTTTTTTGCTTGGGGGTGCATATGGCTATCCAGTTGTTCTAGCACCATTTGGTGGAAATGCCTGTCCTTTCTCAATGGAGTTGGCTTTGCATCTTGGTCAGAAATCAGTTGTCTGGTGGGGGGTGTGTATGGGGTTATTTCTGGACTCCCTATTCTGTTCCAGTGATCTGTCTTTGTTCCAAAACTACATTGTCTAGACGATTTTATTTAATTAATTTATTTATAATTGAGTTATAGTCAGTGTACAATGCTGTGTCAATTTCTGGCGTACAGCACAATTTTTCAGTCATACATGAATATATATGTATATTCATTTTCATATTCTTTTTCCCTGTGAGCTACTGCAAGATCTTGAATATATTTCCCTGTGCTACACAGCATAAACTTGTTTATCTATTCTATGTATACCCCTCTAGACTGGATTTTACGTTTCTCCAAGATAGGCAACATGTTTACATATCTTTTTGTCCAACCAGCATTTACCAATCAGCTACTTTGGGTACATTAACCAATATATTTATTGTATTGGGGGAAAAAAGAAGCCTTAAGAAAACCATTTAAAAAGAACATGTAGAGTTGAAATCACAATTTAAGGACTATTTAATATTTTGAAATGTTCGTGTTTGACATATAAAGGCAAAAAATAACAAGTTTTCAGTGAGCTTGTGTATCTTTGAAATTAAACTTAAAAGTCTGAGCTTTGTAAATTAAAACATAAAACAGTGTGTCAGTTGTTGTCTCTTAATCCTCCCAGGTCTGTGTCCTTCATGACTCCCTATACATTAAACATTTGTTCTTGTTCTTTTTCAAAACTAATTTTAATCATATTGTATGTGAATGTGTTTCGTTTGTAAAATTAAAACCCAAATTCTTTTAATGAGTCCCCTAAATTCTTACCCCACATACTTTTTGCTGTTTGCCTTGCATCCTCCTAGAACCTTATCTAATGCATTTTTGCACATATTTTATGTTTTCTATTGGTTTGAGATGCTTATTCTTATATTTAAAAAAATTGATACATAACTGCCTTTCTAACAAGAACCATAAAATTCTTCTACTTACCTTTTGCCTACTTCTCCCTCACCAATCTCCCTTGTCTACATTGTCTGGAATTCTAGTTTCTAATTTTTATTCAAAAATTTAAAATCAATACTTATTTTAAATTAAGAGGTTTCAATAAAATTTGTCTTCCATTGTTTATTGTATTACACTATATTTGAGTGTATTTTCCTTCAGGAGTACATCCTTGAGAAATTCTTTCAAAGAGATTATTTAACAAAAAGAGTTTTATAATTTTAGCTCTTAAATTTAGGTGTTTCATCCATTTTGAGTTAATTTTTGTATGTGGTGAGGAATAAGGGTTCAGATTCATTCTTTTGCTTGTAGATATGCAGTTTGTCCCAGTACCAGTTGCTGAATGGGTCTTATTTTTTAATAATTACTTTAGGCCCTTGATCTCATTTAATTATCATAACAGCCCTATGAGATTTTTATTGTCATTATCAACTCCATCTTACAGGCTTTGAAACAGTCTCAAAAGCTAAATGTCTTGTCCAAAGCCTCATAGCTCAAACCCCAGGGCTTGTTGACTTCAGAGCCCTAACACTTAGCCACTAGGTGACACTACCTTTGAATCTGTGACATATTCACACTCTTGGTCAACTAGGAACATTGCTCAGAAATTAAGTGGTTGTCTAAAGAACATTGTGGAACTATGACAAAGAAAAGAGAGCCCTACAGGGTTTTGAGATTTTATACCAATTCCTACTTTTATCAAGTGACGCCTAATCCCTCTAGGACCCTGGGCAAAGGATTTTAGGATTGAATTCTTGTTACCAGGCACTAGAGTAACACTGACCTTTAGAATTTTCTGTGATAATGACAATGTACTATGTCAGCAATGTCCAGTACATTAGCCACTTACCAGGTGTGGCTTTTGAACACTTGGAGTGTGGCTAGTGCAACTGAAGGACTGAATTTTTTTTTTGATAGTAGTAAAACATATGTAACATAAAATTTACCACTTTAACCTTCTTAAGTATACAGTTCAGTGACATTAAATTCATTCACATTGTTGTGCAACTGTCACCACCATCTATCCTCAGAACCCGTTCATGTTCCCCAGTTGAAGCTCTATACTCACTCTCATTCCCCTCAATCCCTGGAAACCATCAGTCTACCCTCTGTGGCTATGAATTTGACTATTCTAGAAACTTCTCATAAGGAGGAACTGAAATTTTTATTTTAATTAATTTAAATTTATAGTATAAATTTTTTTTAAAAAGGGGGAGGGAGGGTACAGCTCAGTGGTAGAGTGTATATACCTAGTATGTACGAGGTCCTGGGTTCAATCCCCAGTACTGCCATTAAAACATAAAAAATAAATAAACCTGATTACCTTCTCCTCCTAAAAATTTTTTTTAAGTAGTATAAAAATGTAAAAAAAACACAAAAATTTACATAGTCACACAGGGCTAGTGGCTACATTACTGGTCAGTGCAGGCCTAGAGCCAGGTTGGGCCTGGGAGAGGTGTGCCTCTCACGAAGTGTGTCTGCTCCTGACACAGTCTGAGTACAAGCCTATTTGCCAGACCTTTGTGGTATGTGAGAGTATTGGCCAGGAGAAGGAGAGATGTCTACTTACATTCTTTGCCATTTTCTTATTGGGTTGTCTTTTTATTGTTGAATTGTGAGAGTTCTTTATATATTCTGGATACTAGATCCTTATCACATACACGATTTGCAGATGTTTTCTCCCATTCTGTGGGTTGTCTTCACTTTCTTTTCTTTCTTTCTTTTTTAACGTGCTGGAACTTGATTTATTTCATGGATGGCTATTGACTCCTTTTCCCCCTACTCCCCTCCTCTTCCCCTCCCCCCATCAGCTTTACTTCAAAGGAGTAAAGTTTTAAGCACCAAAGTTTTAAATTTTAATGGAGTCCAAAATTGTTTCTCTGAGGCATAACTCAGATAAACAAGCATCCCTTTGGTACAGAGACTGAAGATCTAGGCAATGAAGGACCTTGCTCTGGAATGCTAGAACTAGACTTTTTCCCTCGATATTCTGCTCCAGGAAATCTCTCGTCTTCACACTCCAGCATCCCTACTCGTGATGGGGAATTGTCCAGGTTTTGTGGCCCTCTGGGATTGTGTGAGAGGTGGTAAAGCAGCATTTCTTCCCCGGGCTTTTGCACTTACTAAAACCTGGCCCTTCAACTAACGGGGTGATGCAGTTAGCGCTCTGTTGCCTGTGGAGCATAAATCACGTCCGAGGCGGAAGTGAAACCGGCCTCGTTAACCGCTGTGACAGTGTCTCACCCTCGTTCTCGTTTTGTGGTTTCTCCAGTTCTAGACTTCAGCGACCCCTTCAGCACTGAGGTGAAGCCCAGGATCCTGCTCATGGGCCTGAGGAGAAGCGGCAAGTCATCCATTCAGAAAGTTGTCTTTCATAAGATGTCTCCCAACGAAACCCTGTTCTTGGAGAGTACGAACAAGATCTGCCGGGAAGACGTTTCCAACAGCTCCTTTGTTAATTTTCAGATCTGGGACTTCCCGGGACAGATTGACTTTTTTGACCCTACCTTTGACTATGAGATGATCTTCCGGGGAACAGGAGCGCTGATATTTGTCATCGACTCCCAGGTAAAGCTCAGTCTTGGGGTCTGGTGGGAATACACCCCCCGGCAAAGGCAGCCCCTCCTCCCCCCACGTTCAGACACATTACTTTGCGGTCGTTTTGGTTTGGGGTTTAGAGTCAGGAATAGGCCTTTCTACCAGACTAGCGCTTCTCCGTTGGGGCTCTCAGGCTTTGCAAAGGGGAAAAGGCTCCCTTCACACAGCCTGACCATCTAGGGATGGTAGGGGGCTGCCTAGGTCTCAGCAAACCATAGAGGAAACCCCACAGATGGAATAGACCACCGTTCAGACCAATGACAGCAACTGTGTGCCCGCTTTCTGGCATGCTTGGCAGACATCTATAAAAGATCACAGGTCCTCTACAACAAAAACTATGTGTGTATCTACATTTTAAAATGTTTACTATTTCCTATGAAGTTCTCAGTGTGAATATTTTTCTTCTGAATCAAATTGTTGTAATTATTGCTAGTGCACCATTGATTAAGACAACATAATGAGTGTGTATTTTATACGTAACTAAATACAAAAAGTAAAATTTGACATATATATTATTTCCCACTTAATTCATGTATCTATGCTTGAATAAGACAGGCTCTGGCATCAATTCTATTTTTTTGCTTGTTTGTTTGTATAACTGTAGGTTTGTATAGAAACAAGAAGGAAGCTTGTTCACATAAGTAGGTGGATATGGGGGAAGTTTTGTTAAAGCATTCACTCGATTATTTAAACTCCTTCCAAGTTACAGGCCCTGAATTACCCAATTCTCTTATCACACAAAATTTATTTTTAGTGGTTTATCGGTACCTGATTGTGTCCTTCCTTAACTTTGCTAAAAGCAAAGAATTGGGAGCCCCTTTGCTGGCGAAGAGCCTTATTCCCTAGGCTTTAGAGAGTCACTCACTTAATTCAGTATTCAGACCCACCTTCTGAATGGTCTCTTTGGTACCCTGGGTTTTTAATGCCCTGCGCCTTCCTCCTGTGAAGTGGGAGCAGGGCTGGTGGTTTAAGGGGTTGGGGGAAGGGAGGCAGCAGAAACACAGGTGCATCTCAGGCAGGTCAGTCTTGGGAAAGAACCCAGGGAGCAGGATGGGGACATTTATGCTCTTCAAACTCCCCACATCCAGGTACTCTTAGAAAGTGTCCTTGATGGGTAGCCCAGCCCGAAGGCCCTCCCAGGGGCTCTCTTCTGCAGCTTTTGGGGAATGAAAGGTAACAAGTCTTATCGGAATGCACTAAATCAACTCTAACCTCAAGTTTCAATGTTTCCCTGAAACTCTGGGCCTACGATCAGACAAGTCGGGTGGAGCACCCGTCAGCCCCTCAGGAGCCCCAGTGGTGTCAGGGAGGAAGGGCTGTGAAGACTGTTAGTAATAATGGTTCCAAGCCCATGCTTGGAAAACCATTCTTGGAGAAGACTACTCAGGCCTGAGAGCATCATAAATTCATTCATGGAACGAGATGCCTGTTTAATATAATAATGAAATTTTCAACTAAGCCTTTTAGTTCCGAGTGACTGCACTGGGAACTGTTTGTGTAGCTGCAGGAGCGTGGCCATATGGTTAGAGGGAGTTCTTTCTTCCTTTTCTGGTGGAGTGGGGAGAGGGGAGGCATTATATGCCAGTGTCTGATCCGTGAACAGCAGTGCGGTCCTCCCATGGGCCCATCCAGAAACTCACACTTGTGGCACCTGCATCAGGTCTGGGACCTGCTGTGAGTTGCACTTCCCTGGCTGTCCTGCTTGTACTGACCTATGTCCTGGCCCATCTGTGGCTTTGGCAGTGTCCCCTGCCTTCCTGCTTCAGGTCTGCCAGCACCATAAATCAGGGAGCTTGGAGCCCCAAAGGAGCGGCCAGGGTGTGAACAAGCCGCTAGGAGGGGAGACTCCAGGGATGTCACGCCCGTCTGTCTCCTCTAAGCTTCCTTTCCTCCCTGAGTCACGAGGCCGCTGTTTCTGTAGTTGAACTAAGTAGCAGCAGTAGTAGCCCTACCCTTGGGTAAGTAGATTCCAGGCCTGACTCGTCATTTCAGGACAGTGGCTTGGTAAGTACTTACTTCAGTACCATATTGTGCTCACAGTACAATTTACATTTATGAAATTTGAATTGCCAACAAAACTATCTCAGGTGTTTGTGATATGGCTTTAATGTGGCTAAAATAGGTACACTGCCCTATTTCTTTTTTAATTGAAGTATAGTCAGTTTACAATGTTGTGTTACCTTCTCGTGTACAGCATAGTGATTCAGTCATACAAATACATATTCTTTTTCATATTCTTTTTCATTATAGGTTATTACAGATATTAAATATAGTTCCCTGTGCTATACAGTAGGACCTTGTTTTTTATCTATTTTATGGATAGTAGTTTGTATCTGCTAATCCTGAAGTCCTAATTTATCCCTTCCCCACCCCTCTTCCCCTTTGGTAACCATGAGTTTGTTTTCTGTGTCTGTGAGTCTCTTTCTGTTTTATAAACAAGTTCATTTGTGTCATTTTTTAGATTCCACATATGTGATATCATATGATTTTTGTCTTTGCCTGACTTACTTCATTTAGTATGATAATCTCTAGGCTGTTCCATGTTGCTGCAAATGGCATTTTATTATTTTTTATGGCTGAGTAGTATTCCATTGTATAAATATTACCACAGCTTCCTTATCCAGTCATCTGTTAATGAACATTTAAGTTGTTTCTATGTCTTCACTTGCCTGTTTTTAAATTGCAGCTATAATTTGGTTTAAATTTTACCTGAACATGAAAAGTGGAACTTCAATTTGAATGGGTAAATGTGTTCTTTGTTTTGTTTCTTGGTTTGTTGAGTTTTGTTTTGGCTGTAGGGCAGAGAAAGGTAGAAGAATGTTTGAGAAGTACATTTGTTTAAGTTACACTTTAAAAAAGGTAGGAAAAAACATTGTTGAGAATTGTCATTTACTAAAAATAGCTCCCTATTTTTAATAGTTAAATAAGCGATTTCAGAGTCTGTCTAATGTACTTTTCCTTCAGCAGCAGACTGAAAATCATGTTTGTGGAATCTTTACTTGATGTGCTTGCAGGCACTCAACAGAAAACCACACCTGAAGGAGGTGTCTCAGCAGCACTTGAATGTCCCTGCCTTTATTTCTAAGCAGTGCTCAGTTTGTCTGACACCTCGTATTTTTATTTTTTGCTTGTGAATTCCTCACAATCACAGGATTGCCAGATAAATACATCACCAAGGAGAAAATGTGTCCTCACAGAATGTGGTAAACTAAAAGAGAAGGAAAGCATCAGGACTGGTTTTCCATGAGGTCCATGTGTGACACCGCCAGTCCCCCAGCACAGCCCTCAAAATGTGCCACATCTCCAGGGCCACCCTCTGTCCCCGGGAAGCCATTTCACAGGTGCTTGGGATCCCAAATGAGACTGTCAGCTTGACCCTCATTGGTGATTGTGACTGGCTTGTAATTCCTAGATCTGGTTTTGGAATAGAAACCAGGCAGTGTATTGTAGAAGATAATAATGAACACAGTAGGAAAAAAAATCATTTACAATCCCTCTGCTCTAATAAATCAAGCATCTTCTTCCTTTTGTTTTGTTTTGTTTTGAGGGGAGGTAATTAGATTTACTTATTTATTTTTAGATTTATTGATTGATTGATTTTAATGGAGGTACTGGGGATTGAACCCAGGGCCTCATGCATGCTAAGCACGTGCTCTACCACTGAGCTATACCCTCCCCTCCCCTTCATTTTCTCCTTTTCAGTGTCATTTCTACATTTTTAGCCCTTGTAGATCTGTACGACTTCATCAGTTTGTTGGTAATCAGACCATTTTATATGCTCGGCAGGGAGGTTAAAGGAGCGATTTCTGATCTTTTGAGATTGTGATACTCTCTTGACCTTGACTAGTTTTCTAAAATTTGTTTTTATTGAAGTATAGTTGATTTACAATGTTGTCTTAGTTCCAGGTGTACAGCAAAGTGATTCAGATATATATATATATGTGTGTGTGTGTGTATATATATATTCATGTATATATTCGTGTGTGTGTATATATATATTCATATATATATATATGTTCTTTTTCAGATTCTTTTCCATTGTAGGGTTATTACAAGATACTGAATATAGTTCCCTGTGTTATACAGGAGGTCCTTGTTGTTTATCTGTTTTATATATAGTAGTGTGTATATGTTAATCTCAAACTCCTAATTTATCCCTTTCCCCCACCTTTGGCTAGTTTTGCTCATAGCCATGTCCCCTTAACGCCTCTCTTCAGTTAAAGACATAAGCAGTAACACCCTTTGAAGTGTAATTAACATACAATAAAATGCACTCATTTTAAGTGTACCTACCAGTCAACGAATTTGACAAACACACCTTCTCACCACCTCACAATCAAGATAGAGAATATTTCCCCCACCCTGAAAGCTTCCTTTGTGTTCTTTCTCAGCCGGCCCCCAAATCCCAGCCCTAGGTAATTGCTGATATGTTTTCCGTCACTAAAGAGTAGTTTGCCTTTTCTAGAATTTCTGTACAGTAATGACTTTAGTTTTTATTTGAGATATTTTAAGTTATTTAAAAAGTGTCACAAATTATTAATCTAGAATTTTTCCAAAATTCTTAATCTGCTAGCTCAGTGTCCAACCTTTGTTTTTCATTTAAAGTAACTCCTTGGAGTATAAAGGGTGAGAAAGACTGTGCTTGCTGTTTTTCTCTCTTCATGGTTTCCTATTAGTATCTTTACTACTTTAACTTAATACTTTAAAGATGAAGGATACATTTTTATTAGTTTAGTTTGGGGAATACAAGGATGCCAAAAAAAAAATCCCCCGTTTGATTGGCTTTCTGTATTTGTCCAGGTGTAGAGTCAGAATGGGGAGGTGAAAAGTCCTTTAAATTCTGTCCTGAAGAGCCTTTTCCTTTTCTTGCTATAAAAACAAGGCCTATTCACACCCTTCAAATTGACAATAATGAGATCTGAGAACATGTGTTGGTGAGAGTCTGGAGGTGTTTAGGGGCTCTTAGACATTATTTCATTAAGTTCAAGCTGTTCCTTCCTGTGATCTGACAAGCCTGCCTTCAGGGGAAGCCCTAAGAAGCTCACAAACAGACACAAAGATATGTACATGAGACTGTCCACATTATCACTGTCTGAACTAGCACATTCTGAATATCTGTAAGCGGGCAATACATGATACATTATACACCATCCACACTATGCAATTTTACAGCACCATTAATCAGAATTATGCACTAGAGTTTCATGCTTCAACCTAGGGGAGTCTCACTGACATAATGTGAGTGAAGAAGGCAAACTGTGATACACGTGGAAGTTGTGTTTCTGTAAATTTCCAAATAATGTAAATGGACTCTATATGTTGCTTTGGGATATATGTGTATGTAATAATGTATGAAGAGATGTGTGATGATAAACACTGAAGCCAGAATAGTGGTTACCTCCAAAGGGTGTGGGGGTAGAATGATGGGGCGGGCTGGGAAGATGGGGAAAAACACAGAAGGCTTCAGTGTCTTAAGTTTGATTTCTTAGAGAGATGCATACACAGACCTTCATTATATTATTACATAGGTATCATCTGTAGGAAGGAGGAGAAAAGACTGCTGTGTTATTTGGGGCAATTACTCTAGACCAGGGGTCAGCAAACTTTTTCTGTAAAGGGCCAGATGGTCATTATTTTAGGCTTTGTGACAATATGTAAACAAATGAGTATGGCTCTGTTCCAGTAAAACTTTACTTGCAAACAGTATGTGGGCCCAGTTTGGCCCGAAGGCTGCGGTTTGCTGATCTCTGCTCTAGACTAGTGGTTCTAAAGTTCTCTTCCTGCCTCCTTCCCCACCCTCCCAGTGACTTATATCCTGCTTTATCTCTAATTTTTCATTACAGTTCACCAAGAGACTCAATCCTGGAGGAACAGTATCCCAGGGAAGGTCCTGGGTGGTGCTGGGGTCATTTTCAATTTGTAAAACTACAGCTCTGAGCTTTATGACTGTCATCAAGCTAAATAGTAACTGTATTTTTCTGGCCTTTCTTTTTCCTTTTTTTGTTAACAAAACTTAAGTTTTCAATCTTGAATGCTATGAACGAGCTTTCATTTGGGCTTTTGTAAAATATTTGGGAGGGGTTGTACCCATATGGTTTCCAGATTAAGAGTGAATGTGGATGTATGTTCATGTATGACTGAAGCATTATGCTGTACACCAGAAATTGATACAACATTATAAACTTCAACTTAAAAAAATACATTAAAAAAGTATAGCAAATTCACCAAAAAAAAGAAAAAGTTTATGTAGAAGAGGAAAAAAAAGTACCTGTGAGGTGAGGTGATGGGTTGGTTAAGTAGCTTGACTGGGGAGATCATTTCACAGCAGGTATGTATATCAGAACATTGCCTTGCACACCTTATTACATGCGATGTTTCTTTGTCAATTGTACCTCAGTAAATCTGGGAGACAAAGACTGTGGAAGGCAGCTTGGAAGGGTTCAGGAAGCAGAACAGCCCCCCTGACAGGAGTGTTCTCTGTTCCTAGGATGATTACATGGAAGCCCTGGCCAGGCTCCACCTCACGGTGACCAGGGCCTACAAAGTGAACACCGACATCAACTTCGAGGTGTTTATTCATAAAGTGGATGGTCTTTCCGATGACCACAAAATTGAAACCCAAAGAGATATTCACCAGAGGGCAAATGATGACCTTGCAGATGCTGGATTAGAAAAAATTCACCTCAGGTGAGAACAGAAACCCCTCAGGGATCACAGGAGTCCAAAGTCACCCACAGTGCTTTAGTATGGGCAGTACCTTACCTGTGTACCCTGCTTTGTGCTGAGGACATGGGATAGTATTTGGCAAAAGCAACTTTTGTACATGCCAACTCTACTCCTTGGGGAAAGTGGTGAGGTTTAAAAAATTTTTTTCTGACTGAAGATCAAAACTAAGATTCTTTCCCCTTATGAAAAACACATAACATAAAACTTATGTACTTAATCCTGGAAGTTAATTGATGCTGAAGTTCTTGACAAATTACAGTTCTTGATAAATGTGATAGTATCTAATCATAAGTAAAGGACTACTCTGAAAGTAATTCAATTAGAAATAATCACAAAGGAAAACCACTTCTCTGTTATTTTTTGTGGAATAGTATGTACATGCATCATTCATTTTGCAAATTGGAAGAGTAGGTGCTTCCATATCAATAAGATAACTGTTACTAACCTGAGATGTGTAAAGACAATCTGGTGTGGATTCTCTTGCAGAATCAGCTGATGTGAGTACATACTCCTGCATTTTTAAGTCTGTTGGTCCAGCCAGTCAGCAGATGAGAATGGGCACAGTTCTTGCTTTTGGGGAGTTGGGGAGGAATGGCTTATTAAATGTTCCCTTTTTTTAACCGAGGTTGTTTGGAATTCTGAAGGGGGCTAGCATGTGTGCATGAGAACTGTAGTAAATTCAGGACGGATGGTACTAGGGTTATGGCAGTCTAAACAGTCTATTCCTCAAAGGTAAAACATGACGAAATATTGTTTTGTCTTTCAGCTTTTATCTGACAAGCATATATGATCACTCAATATTTGAAGCTTTTAGCAAAGTGGTTCAGAAACTGATTCCACAACTCCCCACCCTGGAGAATTTACTAAACATCTTTATCTCAGTGAGTAAATAATATCCTCCTGTTAGAGTCATTTGCAGAATTTAAGAATAACATTGCAAGAGTGAAAACAATCTTATTGCTGCTTGTTCTCACAACATTTCAAGGTCACTGAAATACTACTTTTGAAGACTGGGCCTACATATTGCTTTTAGGTCCTTTAAAATTTTACTCCCAAAACAATTCCTGTATTTCACTGGTATAATCGGAATGTTTATTCAAGTGGTAGGCAGTCATTCAATTTTAATAGAGTCCTACCAGAGGTAGAGAGCATAAAAGTTGGTTTTGGCTAATAAAATATATACTGTTGAATTTTTAAAAATAAGTTTAACACTATGAATAATGTGCTGGCTGAGTGAGTCCTAGAAACCAGCAGCTCAAGGCAGGCTCCAGAGAGTAGAATTAAGGCAGACCTTTGGTTGTATTCACACTGATTTTCGCTGCACAATTTTGAGTTTGTTTAGATTTTTTAAATATCTGCTTTTTCACTTAAAATTAGTAAAACTTGTATTTTTACTTTTCCTTTTTCCTCACTGCAGGTAACATCTCTAGGAGTCAGGAAACACTGCCTAATTTATTTACCAAAAATAAATAATTTGTGATAATTCCAGTTTTCATTTCTTGTGCAAGTCTGTTATAAAGAAGTTAATGGGAAGAGGGAATAGCTCAGTGGTAGAGTGCATGCCTAGCATGCATGAGGTCCTGGGTTCAATCCCCAGTACCTCCATTAAAAATAAATAAATAAACCTAATTACCTCCCTCCCCCAAAAAATAAAAAAGAAGTTTATGACCATGGGGTTTAGACTGCAATAAAATGGAACCGCCTAAACTTTGGCTTATTTATCTTTTACACTGAGGATGGCATATAATTTTATGTAACCATGACATGCTCTGAAAGCAGCTGTCACTTTATGGCATCTTCTTTTTGTTTCAGAATTCTGGAATTGAAAAGGCGTTTCTCTTTGATGTGGTCAGTAAAATTTACATTGCAACTGATAGTACCCCAGTGGATATGCAAACCTATGAACTCTGCTGTGATATGATCGATGTGGTCATTGACATTTCTTGTATTTATGGGTGAGTAAAACATGCTGAAAGGCTATGTCGAGCCATACTTCTCTTTCATAACGTTTGAGACATTTTACATTTACTTATTTGACCTTAATACTTTGGTTCTGAGCTCTATAAACAAATATACCATTTGGTAAGCAATAATATAACAAAAATTATTGAGTAAATACCTGGTATTACGTTAATAATTTCACTGTCTACATTATAGCATTGAATTCTCCACTATTCTACGAGGTAAGAATTACTATCCCCTTTTTACGGGTGGGGAAACCGGTTCAGAGTGGTTAAGTTTTGAACCCCTGCTCACACTACCAATAAGGAATGGAACTAGGATTTGAATTCAAGTCTGAGTTTTGGTTCCTCTATTAAAAAATCTGTCATCATATCATAATGTCACATATAGTTGGGGGAGACTACTAGAATCCTTGAATTCTGCATAAGTATCTCATGTTAACCACGGTTCTACTATCTTCTTTGTGACGGAAAGTAACTGCCAAGTTTTTTCTCCAATATACTTTTGATTGTCTTCTATTGTGGGCAGCAGAAAACTATAAAATTAAGCAGACAACATTACCTGCTTATTATTATGGTCTTACATTCTTAGAAAACAGAACTTCTTATACATTTAAAATAAAACAAACAAGGAATGAGGAAAATTGAATTTGTTACCAGAGACAGAAAGTATTTCACATAATTGTGAATCTTCTTGAATGGATGTCTACAGAGTGAATGTGAACTAGTATGTCTGTCTTAATAAGACATCAGGTTGTTGCTGCTGTTTATATTGGATTTCATATCTCATACAGTTGTTCATGAGGTAAAGCTTTTCTTCACTTTCCTCTTTACTCACTGTGTCTGGCTTCTGGCAGAGTTTGTCTTACCATTTCTCAGAGTTCAGACTTCTAACTGTTACACACGTGCATGCACACAGTCCCTTGCATTGTGAAATAGGGAAAGTGATTCTTACCTCACTACCTGTAGTGAGGATGAAATATCATTAGGCTTCCCCTGTGGACCCTGGATAAAAGTAGCTGCCATTATTATTATTATTAATTATTTATTATTATTACTATGACTACGACTACGACTATTACTACTATTACTACTACTACTATTAAACACTGCCATACGGCTTTAGAAAGAGACCTTATTTCCCAAGATTGCTGCCCTGCAGTATTCTCTTGTTTTTAAACTATAAGTAGATGACCTTGAAATAGTCTTGGAAGCTGAAAGTACCCTGATTACAGTCTGGATGGCTGTCGTACTCAAATACAATGAACAACACAATTGATCTGGCACATATTCAATGATATGCATGATCATTGTTTTGCCACATGGTAATTAGATATAAGTGGTAAGTTGCTGGTATAAATGATGTTAATCAGAGTTACTTTTATCCAGCTAAAACAAGCATGGGGAGGGAAAGGCCGGGAGGAGGAGGGAGCAGGGCCTGGCAATCAGATTGTTTTTCCATGGTGGAGTGCAGCGTTCCTGGGAACCCACCCAGTTCAGTAAGAACCAGTCTGGGTCACAAATGGGGCGTGGGTTCTGGGGTTTCTTGAGACTGTTTGCAGGAGTGGCAATGAGCCAGCCCATGTCACCGGCAGAGGGTGGGCTGGCCAGGATGCTTGCTGCAGGCCAGGAAGCAGGCAGGGGGCCCTGTCCTGGGAGGTCTTGCTACTGGTTCCAGGCTGCTCTGAGAAGGCCAGCGACCCCTAGAAGCAGGTGACCTGGTGCCTCCTCAGGCTGCTCAGGAATCACAGCTGAGATTCTGAAACCGTATACACAGTTTCGGATAAAGGAGAAGGTACAGGACGTACTCCTTTGCTTATGAAGATAGGATACAGAACTCTGATTACATCAGTGTCTTCCGAGCACCCAGTTTTGACCATTAGGCCATATTAATAATGAGAAAAGCAGTTAACATTCTATATGTGCTCAGCACTGTGCTTAGTGCTATAAATGTATAATTTCATTGGGTTCATTGGGTTAGGAAACTTTGAGGTAATCATGGTTATTATATAGATGAGGAAACTGAGGCTTTAAGAAGTTACTCAATTTGCCCAAGATTATACAGGAAATAAGAGAGCTGGGATTCAAACCCAAGTCATCTGAGTTTGTAGGCCACACCTTTTCTTAAATAGACCAATATTTTTAAACTTTTTTTTGGAAAAATTTCAAATCTGTAGAAAATGTGCAAGAATAGTACAGTGAACTCCTATATACCCTTCATTGGGATTCACCCATTTTTATTAATTTGCCATATTTGCTCTTTCTTTCTTTTTCTAATACAGTCGGCCCTCTGTGTGGGTTCCACACCTGCAGATTCAACCAATCAGCAGATTTAAAATATTCAGAAGAAAAATTCCAAAAAGTTCCAAAAAGCAAATTTGAATTGGTTGTACTCTGGCAACTACTTACATAGCATTTGCATTGTATTAGGCATTATAAGTAATTAAAAGATCATTAAAAGTATATGGGAGGAAAACAACAAGGTCCTACTGTACACCATAGGGAACTACATTCAGTATCTTGGTAAAAGCTTATAATGAAAAGTATATATATGTATAACGATATCACTATGCTGTACACCAGAAACTAACACAACATTATGAACTGACCATACTTCAATTAAAAAAAAAAGTACACGAGAGGATGTCCATAGGTTATATGCAAATACCATGCCATTTTTAGCATCTGAGAATTTTGGTATCTGCTGGCAGGGTCCTGGAACCGCCCCCCCAGCCCCCCACACTGAGGGAGGACTGTAGGTGTTTGCTTTTAGTGGATCATTTGGGAGTAAGTTGCCAGCATCATGATTCTTTGATCCTAGCTACTTGAGCATCTGTCTCTCAATAACAAGGACATTTTCTTATAGGACCACAGTGTAATTTTCAAAGTAAGCGTATTTCACAGGGCTACATTACTCTAGTATTTCATGCAGAGTCCCTTTTCAAATTTTACCAGTGGTCCTAATTCTCTTCAATAGTAGTTTTTCCCGTGACCCAGGATTTAGTCCAGCATTTGGCTGCCATGTCTCTTCAGGCTGCTTTATTTTGGATCAGTTCTTCACCCCTTCTTGGTCTTTTATGGGGCTGTGCTTTCGACAGCCTGATTATTCTGTCCCAAGGAAGCAGGAAGCCTTTGTGGGCCATGGAGGGAAGAAGACTGAACCTCCATCCCTCACCTGTGTTCCTCAGGTGCCTGGAGAGTGGCCCAGCTGTGTCCATAGGCGGTGACTGTCATACACTGTGTATATTCTTGTGATTGGGTGTCTCTGAGCACTTTAGCCAAAAGGCACTAACAGTATGAACCATTTATCACTGTGATTATCATTCTCCATGTGAAAGCCGGTCTCCGTCGCTGGGTTACAAATTGCAGTTCTTAATGGTTCAGATATGTTTTGGTTTCTGTCCCCATTTAGTCTCAAAGAAGATGGAGCAGGAACCCCCTATGACAAGGAATCAACAGCCATTATAAAGCTGAATAATACAACCGTTCTTTATTTAAAAGAGGTGACAAAGTTCCTGGCTCTTGTTTGCTTTGTCAGAGAGGAAAGCTTTGAAAGAAAAGGTAATTTTTTTGTGTGATTTCAATGAAGCATTGTAATTCAGATGAATACTGCCTTTCCTGTTTGTTGAGTGTGGGTGGACAACGTGCCTCTGGAGGCTTCCAGACTTTAGTCACGGGCCCCCTTGGCTCCTGCCCACATCACTTGGGATTTTGGGATCCGTGAGCCAGCCTGCCCTCTAGTGATGCAGTGGCCGTGAGGTGAAAATGGAGCCAGACCATCCTCCCAGGGGCCCTTGCTTCTTTGGGAGCAAAGCTAGCTGGGGCGCTGTTGCCAGGCTGTAATGTGTCTTCCCTTGGGGCCAAGCCCTCCCTCTCGGTCCACACCTCTAGAAGGTCTTAGGGACCTTGTGACCACTTGTCCTCCCATAGAAAGGAGGAAGCTCATACACCCTTAAAGCTAGACAGTATTTCACTTCTGTTCAGCCCTTGTACATTCTTTAGTCCTAAACCCACAGAGATGGCATCGTGATTCCCAAAAAGGGAAGACACGAATATACTTAATAACATTGCCAAATTTAGTTTTATTTTAAAACAAAAGCAATTAACCTCATAAAGATACTTATATTCCCCTTACTATCTAAACTGGGAAATACCAGCTTAATGATGTAGCTAGGGATTTTTGCTAGTAATTAGGGGATGATTTACCCTGAATTCCCAATAAAGTGGCAGTAGTAATATTTTTCTGGAATAGCTTTTTTTTCCTTATAAGCAATACAAGTTCCCTATAAAAATACTTTGAAAACTTAGGAAAGTATAAAGAACAAAATAAAATCGCTCAGTTTCACCATCTAGAGCTAAGCCCCATGTTAAATCATTCTGGGATTTTTTATCTCCTTCCTTTTCTCCCTCCCTCCCCCTCTCCTCCTCCTCCCTTCATCCCTCCTCTCCTTCCTTCCAACAAAAGTGGTGCTATATTGTCTATATAGTTTTAAAAAATTATATTATTTATTTTTATTTTGGCAGGGAGGGGAGGTAATTAGGTTTATTTATTTATTTTTTTAGAGAAGGTACTGGGGATTGAACCCAGGACCTCGTGCATGGAAAGCATCAACTCTACCACTGAGCTGTACCCACCCCGCTATGTAGTTTTTTATTCTACTGTTTTCACTTATTTATATTATGAACACTTTCTTAATTCATTGAGCATGAAAGCATAATTGAGATTTTTTACTATTTCTTTTTGTTACAAAAGTAATAGCTTTTATTTACGAAGTTTAAAAATAATAAGCAACAAGACATAATTATTGATAAGTGTCTCACTCACATATCTCTTAGTCTTTTTCATGGCTCTCTAGATCTCTTTCTATATGAGATTATATGATAAATACTACTTTATAACTTTCACTTAAATTATTATAGACGTTTTTCCAATTCACTAATTTTTTTAACCACATCATTTTAATTAGTTTCTTCTATTGTTAGAAATGTGTGTTGTTTCTAGATTTTGATGCTGTTAATAATCTATAATGACCTTCTTTGCACTAAATATTTGTGTACATCTTTGGTTATTTCCTCAGGAAAAACTTCAACAAATGGAATTACTTAGTTCAATGCATTTTGGTGGCTTCTAATGCATATTACCAAAATGTCGTTCAGAACGATTTTATGGTTTTATTCTACTGAGAATATACATGTGTCCATTTTGCTATATTCTTATTAATATTGGACATTAGCATTAAAATGATAATTGAAAACAAATTTACCTTTTTTCTGCTTTTTAATGAAGTTGTGTATTTTTTCTGTATTTACTGACTCTGACCAACCAAATTGCCTTTTGTGTCCTTTGCCCTCAAAACTTTTAATTAAGTAGTGTTAACCTTTTACTTCTTATTTTCATTTTGCTGAAAGTCAGGACAGATATTAATAAGTTCATGGAATTTTGAAGCTGGACAGGACCATCCCTTGTTTCACCCTCTCAATTACAGATGACTTTACCCGAACCCAGGAAATAGAAGTGACTTTCTCCCAAGGTCACACCACCAGTGTCTGACAGTCGGGGCTAAAGATTTCTAGGCTTCTCCCTATATAGAAACAGTTGTGTGGACTGTGTTGTAAATCATTATACATATACTCCCTTGGTTAAAAATATTTCCAGAATTTATATTTGGGGATTAATATTTCATGTTGATTTTAGACCTAAGAAAAATAAAAGTAATGCATATAGTACAACTATAATCCCCAAACCTTCGAGGGTGGTAACAGGTCCTAAAATTTAGGGTACATTAGAATCAGCTTTGAGAGCTTGTTTATTTTGAATTAATTTTAGACTTAACAGAAAAGTTGCAAAAATAGTATAGAGTTTATATATACTCCTCATCCAGTTTCCCCAACTGGTAACATCTTACATACTGTAGTACAGTTACCAAAACTAGGGGCTAACATTGGTAGAACACTTATTAATGAAGCTTACAGACCATATTCTAATTTCACCAGTTTTTCCAAAAATACCTTTTTTTCTGTTCCAGGATCCCAAATTGGTTTAGTTGTTATTTCTCCTAGTCTTCTCTAATTGGGGACAGTCTTTCATGACCTTGACAGTTTTGAAGTGTGTTCATCAGGTATTTTGGACAGTGTCCCCCAAACTGAGTTTGTCTGATGTTTCCACACAGTTGGAATCAGATCATGCAATTTGGCAAGAATGCCACCCCAGAATGATGATCTGTCCTTCTCAGTGTGTTATATCAAGAGGTCCATGAGGTCTTATTACAATGATGCTGACACTGATTTAGTTAAGGTAGTGTCTACCACGTCTTTCCCCTGGAAAGTTCCGATCTTTCCCTTCGTAGTGAATAGATACTTTCAAACTATGTAAATCTTCTTTCTCCTCACTCTTTTGCCCACTAATTTTCACATCCATCTACGGTGGCAGGAGTAAATTTAAGCAGGAAATTTATCATGTGGGTCTCTGTTAAATTATTGCTAAATCACCTTGGTAGGATCATCTCTGAGGATGGGCAGATTTTGTAGAATTTATAAACTAACTAGGAACCTGGGTATTCATTTTAATGTTATAACTAAGAGATATAAATAAATAGGTAGACAAGGTTTAACCCCATCATGTTAAACTTGTTTGCTTTTTAGGGTGACCAACTGTCTCCATTTGCCTGGGACAGAGGGGACCTCCAGTGCCCAAACTGGGGAAGTCCCAGGCAAATGGGGTGAGTTGGCCCCCTGAGCTTTAAAAAGAACTTAAATGCTTTGCATACACAGGGAGTAGTTCGATCTGTTTTGTTGCTTTAATCTCAAGTGTTGAGGGCTGTTGGTGCTGATAATCAACACTTACTGGTTAGCCTTTCCTCCTGTTGGTCTCCTGTGTTTTTGTGGGTGATTTCTGAGACTGCTTTGGCATAAAGGAGTAAAAGCAGAGGTGGGATTCTTGGCCTTTACTGCACATCACAGGCACCTTGGGGAGGGAGGTGGCTAAAAAATAGGGACATCTGAGCCCGCCACCAAACAATTAGAATAGGTTCTTGGGAGAGGGGCTTGGGGCTTGGGGCTTGTTAATTTTTAAAAAGCTCCCTGGATGCTTTTAATGTGCAGCTACGATTGAGAACCACTGAGCCAGAGAAGGACTGTGTGTGATGCTGAAGGTCATGCTTATTCTAGTCATGTCTCTG